AAAGGTCAAGACAGAAAGACAGATTGACAAATTCAGCTGGGGAGAAGAGAAGCTCTATTTCCATTTTCTCCTCTAGCCTCCTTGGGGTCAAAAGAAATCTCTTTGTAGAAGAGAAAAATAAATGAGTATGCACATAAATATATACAGGGGGGTTGAAAGAGCCTAGAGGAGACAGAGATGTAGAAATAGAGATCCACATTCATACAAGGTTACATATATCCCCCAGCTGACAATTGCAAGAATATAGAACTCCATGCATATATTTCGTTACAGGGACATGATTTTATTCCCCTGTCTCAAAGTTTATAATGTTTTACTAATGATAATGCTTCCACGGAAAACCAAGAACCTGTCCTCCATTTGGCTTTCTCTTTCTCTCTTTCTCAGTCTCTCCGAGAACAGGAGTATACCTCCTAACTCTCCTTGACCCTCCCCCCATTTTTTTTCTCCTCAGGCAGAGAAACCTCTTTTGAGAGCTTTTCTCTAGCAACCAGGGACAAAATTGAAGAACCAGGGACAGAGGTGGGGGGAGAGGAGAGAAAGAAGCTTTGCAAAGTTTCACATTGCTCAGATTTCCCCTCACCCCATTATTCTCCCCTCCTCTCCCTGGCATCAGCCAACAACCTTTCCAACAATATGGTAATGGTAGGCACTGGCAGCCTCCGTTCACCCAGACATTTCCACACAGCGCAAAAACAAGAAGCTGCCTGACAGCCACAGACAAAACAGACCAAGGCCTATGGGCCACAGACAGCTAGACAGAGACCAGAGCCAGATTCTTGCCCTGATGTTTCCAATAGGGTGAATGGGTGGGTGGTGTTTCTACTTGGACTTGATGGCTTTCCTCGAACCTTCTAACATCCTAAATATGCTTTTCTCCTGGAGATGGAGCTATAGAAGGGGATGGGGATGTGGTTGAACTGGCGCTCAGAGTTCCCCAACTCTTGGGACCCCCCCAGTCACCCCAGTTTTCTAAGGGGAAGCTTCAGTCCCAGCAGTCTGGAGGTATAGTTTTTATTTGGAGGTGGCAAGTGAGAGAAACTAACCCTTCCAGAGACTCTCTCCTCTTTCTATGCTCTTCTCTCTCCTGATGATCCTGCCCCACCCTGGCTGGCCCCAGGCTACCTTTTACTCAAATTTGTGAATTTCCTTGTATTTGGCTGGACCGTCTTTGTTTGTCTCCATCAGCTGAGTCTAGGAAACAATAGCTGCGGGATAAACTTCTCTCTCTGAGCCACATAAATTGGGACAGGCTGAGGAGTGGACAGTGGAAAGCGGGCTTCTCCAGACTTGCCCTGCAGCCCCACTCACAGCTTGCCCTCCTCAGTCAGTATTCACTGTGCCCTGTGGTGGGGGAGGGTTGTGGGGCAGTCCCACGAGGGAAGGCTGTAGCAGGATAGGTGGGTTGGGGCCCTCGACGAAAACCGACTGATGTAACTCAGGCAGTTTCTTGTTGCCGAGTTCAAAACTCAATCCCAACAACATGAAACTACCTAAGCCACAGATCAGCTGAGCGAGCAGGGCGGGAGATTCGGCTTTGCATTTATCGGGAGGAGAAGGGAAGGGGGTTGGTGAAGGAAGAAATTCAGCCCCGTCCCCCTTTCCGCCCCCACAACCTCCCTAAGGACTAGAGAGTAGGCTTTGGGTGGTTGGGTCGGTAGGGGGTCTGACTGCCTCATCAGCTTCTGGTCTAAGCAAATTGCTCAGGAAAACTCTGGTGAAAGGGGACCTCCAGTCACCAAACCCCCGCCCCGCCCCCAGCACCGCAGTAGACCTAGTCCCCTGCCTCTGGCCCTAGCCCTAGGAGAAGCTGAAGTGACCTTCCATTCTTGAGCTGGGTCCCCTGTCCTGTCCATCTGGCTCTCCTAGATTCCCTCTGATCCTCTCCCTCTCTCAGCTTGACTCTGGCTCCCCTGCATCTTTGGGTGGCCAAACCACAGAGACTGTGCTCCAAAGCCTCTTCCAGTCAGGCCACTTGCCTAGCAAAGCCCCATGACCAGGGAGTGTGGGGACCGAAAGCATGGATAAGGCTCACATCCAAACCAGCAGAAAGCAGAAAAACCATAGCTTCAAGCTTCCACCCTCTCTAGCCCACCCTCCTTCTGCTGCCCCCAGCAAACAATCAGACTGAGCAACATCTACACCCATGTGTCAACCTCGAGGCGACCCTAAATGTCCGTGTAGAGAAAGAAGCCAAAACCCACCAATTTACCCCTTTAACCGCCGAACCCCACAGCAACGGGCCGAGGAGGGAAGGAGAGGGAGCTCACTGCTACTACCCTCCACTGCTAGCAGCCACAGACAAGCCTGGGCTCTCAACAAGCTCGGATGCCTGAAACACCTTCCTCCTGGTTCTGCCCGCTGCGCAACGGGCACCTGGGGACGCCGCTAGTCCCCATTCTGCCGCCAAGAAAAGAACAAGAAACCGCTTCTCTTACCTTGTCGCCGCCTCCTCCTGCCGCTGCCTGCGCTTCTGCTGCTGCTGTCGAGGGGGGGGGCGTGGTGGTGTTGGCTGAGCTCCTCAACCCCCTCCGGCGGTTAAGTTTATTCCTCTCCTTGGATAGGTGGGGAGCTCTTGGGGTTCCCCCCAGCAGCGGTGGGGGTGCTCCTGGCCCAGCACCCCAGGCAATCAGATCCGTCTGCTCCTCAAGATTGCAGTTTGCTCTCTGCCTCTTTCCAAAATATAAATGCATCTTTTACTGCAGCACCACATTATATTTGCAGATCATAAAATCCACCTCTCGCGCGCACCAAGACCGTCCTGACATTACTGTTTTATGACCTTGACTTATTGTGGTCACCTGGATAATATTTAAATCAACGTTATGGTCTCTCACTTACATTAAACCTGCCAAGAGACATTCTAGAAAGGCTCTAGGAGATGAGTCAAACACAAAACACATACACGCACACACTCAGCATCTTTGGGGAGGGGGTGTCACTAAAAATCGCTAAAAACAAAAAAAAAAAACCACCCAATTGAGAATTATGATTCTGGAAATTTATTAGGATTTTTTCTCCATTAAGGAAGCTACATGCAAAAGATACAACATACAGAATATCTTTAAATAACACAACTGCCAGACAGGGACAGGGTGATATTTTGGTGGGGGGGGGGGAATTCTGTCTCTGCTTCACTATGTTCTATTTTTAATTTTTAATTTTTTAGTTCCACTGGATAGAATTTCTGAGATGTCAGTGAATGGGGGATGTGGAGGTGCTGGGAGGATGGGAGAAAAGGAGAAAGCAGTACAAATACGAGACTTCAAGCAGATTCTCAGAGTGACTGGGAGGTAAAGACACGAAGAGGGTTCAGTGGACGCGCTGCGCGCTACGACAAACACACAAACACTAGCTGAACTTTCCAAAACGTCTATTATTCTATGGAGGAAATGCAGCGAAGAGTGATCCTGACTGTGCTCTGCGAGATTACAGACCTTCTCTGGTTGATTTTTGTCCTCTTTTTTTCCCCCCTAATCAGGTGGATCCTACCTTAACTTTGCATGGAGAACAGGATGATGTGTGTGAGTGCATGGTTGAGTGAGGGGTAGACACACACACCAGCCACACTCCCGCCCTTCTATGCGGGCACATCACACCCCAAACCCCGGCACCCCATTTCTCATGCTTTAGGTGGGCGCATCTTCGCAGCACGAACCATTGGTCCCTTTGAAAGAGTCTGAGGTCTTTGCCTTTTTTGCAGACGTGTTGCATTTATACTCAGGGAGGGTG